GAAGGAAGGAAGGAAGGAAGGAAGGAAGGAAGGAAAGAAAAAAATCCTAAAATCCTACTGAAGATCTGGACTCAAACCAAGTCTTGCCCCATTGCAGCTTGACCAATGAAATGCTGATTAAGAAGGTAAGCTGGCCCTCCTAATTTTTAAGAATAACAGCAGTGCTATCTGTGGGCAAATTATGCAGAAGGGCCATGGGCTTTGCAGTCTTAGAGATTCTGACAGGAAACCAACAACTGGGCATTTATTCGTCATAAAAAAGAAACTTCTAATGTACAGTCCAGACAACGTATTCTTGAACACATTCCAATTTCAACATGCAATTTAATAAGATAAAATGCATTCTATAAAGAAAAGTTTAAAACTTAAAACATTTTGACTAAAGAACAAATCACAGACGTGAGAAGTCAGGACCCGTCTTGTAGTTGTGTGAGGTCAACCTTCCAGATCCCGGAAGTCTCGGCAGCTCTCAGGAGGTGAATGGGTACTTCCATCTCAAAACAGCTCCGTCAGCACTTACGCTAACAATGTACTGATTTCCTGGACTTATCCGGATGCGGGTGATGTTGCCACTGTGCCCCACCCCAACATGAGTCACCTCACCTCCGTTATAATCCCAAACTTTGACCAAATGGTCATTCCCACCTGGAAAAGACAAACAGATCTATGTCCTGCTGCATGAAAACACGGAGAGGGGCACCTGGGGGGCTCAGTTGGTCCGAGTGTCCGACTTCGGCTCGGGTCATGATCTCACGGTTCGTGGGTCTGAGCCCCACAACAGGCTCTGTGCTGACAGCTCAGAGCCTGGAGCCTACTTTGGATTCTGTGTCTCCCTCTCTCTCTCTCTCTGCCCCTCCCTCACTTGCACGTGCTCTCTTTCTCTCTCTCTCTCTCTCTCAAAAATAAAGATTAAAATTAAAAAAAAAAATAGGGAGAAACAGCCCTGATTTCAAGTAACTGCCTAATCTTCAACACATTCCCCATGTTCCAATTTCAAGGAAGAAAAAAAAAATCTATATAGTAACTCTTTTCCTTGATTATGAAAGTCTAGGTCTGTTGTAGTAAATCTGGGGGAAAGAAATACAAAGAGGTGACATTCCCCCCCTTATCCCACCACCCAGAAATAATCACTAACAACAACATCTTTGGTTTGGCTTCTTCCAGGCTTTTCTCTGATAAGTACACAGGTTTACAGATACACCCATGGATGTGGTTGGAATCACACAACGTGTGTTTTTATGTTATTTGTTTTTTTTTAATTTTTTTAAAATTTATTTATTATTTTTGAGACAGAGAGAGACAGAGCATGAACGGGGGAGGGGCAGAGAGAAAGGGAGACACAGAATCGGAAGCAGGCTCCAGGCTCTGAGCCATCAGCCCAGAGCCCGGCGTGGGGCTTGAACTCATGGACCGCGAGGTCGTGTCCTGAGCTGAAGTCGGATGCTTAACCGACTGAGCCACCCAGGCGCCCCTGTTATTTGTTTTTAAAGTGTATTTATTTTGAGAGAGAGAGAGAGAGAGAGAGAGAGAGAGAGAGAGAGAGAGAGAATATCCCAAGCAGAGCCCGTGCGGGGCTTGAACTCAAGAACCGCGAGATTGTGACCTGAGCTTGAAGTCAGATGCTTAACCCCCTGAGCCACCCAGACCCCCCACACCAGGTGTAATTTTATATCACACTCTAAGTAAATGTGTTTGTGACATTTTAATTCATTTTGGAGCGTGCATTTGTTAATGTCCTGAAGAATCAGGGCCTGGCAGGAAATGATCACGGATGGTGTTCCAGTAGGCATGTTGTATGGAGGCTGAATGCCTGCCCCGCCCCCGGAAATGCTGGCTTAAAAGCTTGGCAGTCAGGAGACTTCACTGGGAAATTGCAGTGCAAGGCATGCCGCATAACCCAGACCATTTAAAGTCCCGTTTCTGTCATCAATGCCACCACAAAAAAAGGAAGCCATATAAGGTTTAGCCTTTATGTGTGCCCCAAAGGCCCATGGGCAGACACTTCCTCCCCCTGCAGCGTGACTACTGGATCTTTCTCTTCCAGCCGCGCTGGCTGCCGTGTGCAGGCCTGAATCTAACCACGTTGCCCTGCAGACACTTTTGTCTTCACTCCCCGTTGCCTCCCGCCTGCCAGTTCTGTATTCCCATTTAAATAAGCAGGGCTCGGCTTTCTGCTCCCATCCCGTGACTAACCTGTGACAAAGTGCACTCCTTCCACGGTGATATCCATTCCGTTGATTGACCCGGACAAGGAACCTTCCAACTCTCTGATCACTGACCCATCAAACACTTCCCAGTAAGCAATCTGGAATTCAGAAAAAAAGCAGCATTAGGCAGGACTCAGCTCGGTGGAAGCATCCGTGTGCGTGCTAAGAAAAAGATAAGAAAAAGACGATTCTACTTTATATAGAAGGCGGCAAAAATACACCCTGGGATGATATATCGGCTGAAATTATAAATAGGCTCAAGCAGGGGGTGGAGAAGCCATTTTAATATTTTCAGCGTTGGTTTTTAAATGTGCATTCTATTTAGAGGGATGTGGATCTGCCAGGGGGC